CGGCCAGGGGGGCACCGCAGCGGCGGGTGGATGAGAGTTGGCCCCGATCTCCCCGCAGGGTAAGCGGCGCGCACGCGGACTCCTACACAGACCTGGGCGACGCTGGCCAAGCTCTGTCCCGGCCGCCGGGCCGCGTCCCTATCTGTACGCTGTGCTGCTCTCACTCGGTGGCCCACAGCAGCGACCCTCCCTTCGCGGACCGTCGCGGGCTCTCCCGGCACACACGCCCCCGGGGCGCGTGTCACGGCCACCCCTCGCGCGCACCGCGGACGCTGTGCGGGTCAGGGTCCTGCTGGGCGAGAGGCAGACCTCGATGGGACGTAGGGGCCAAACTACTGTGTGTGGGAATCATTAGATGGGTCACCATGCCTAGGCCGCTAGCGGGGGCGGAGCGGAGGGGGGGACAGGATGAGGGCGCAGCAATTGTCGTCCTACTGACCCACTCTTCTGGGGGTGGGTGAACTGGAAAGGGGGAGGGCTCTCCAGACCCGTGTGGCCCGAGGGATGACCTGGGGGAAAAGTTGTGGACGCTTGCTTTCTGTGTGGCTTTTCCCCTTTTCTTTTAGACATTACCCTGTGGGATCCGGGAGGACAGTTGGCACCTGGCTAGAGCTTAGGCCTGTGTGTTTATTACAACCGCTAAGGTGGGGTTCTGTGTGGCAGTCCCCAGCCTACGTCCTCACTTGTCCACAGTGGGTCTGGCACCTCCGAAGGTTGAAGAGGGGCCCGTCTGGGTGTTGGTTCCCCTGTCCTTCCTTACCTGTGGCCCAGTAGTAGGGTGAGGAACAGGCTTCCATGGCTAGAGACAAGCTGGTACACCTCGGAGCTTCCCCATTTCCAAAGGTAGGAGAGATTCGGTATGGGGGAGACCTTTTTAGGGAGCATTCTCTTCCTTCCTTGCCTCTGTAGATTAGAGACAAAATAAGTTCTAAGGTCCTGAGTCTCAACCCTCCACAGTCTCACTGAAGCCCAGCTAGGCAGAGGGATTTGCTTTAGGGTCAGACCCAAGAGTAGGGTCATGGTCTGTGCTCTGTAGGGCTTGAAATAAAGGACAGTTGGAAGTTCCTTTTTTTTATATACCTGCTCTGTGACATTGGGCAAGGCAGTGAGCATCCCCTGCCTCAGTTTCCCCATCAGTGAGTGACGAAGAAGAAGATAAGAGGATTAATGATACGATATAGGTTCCATGCTGGCCAGACACACCCTAGGTCAAGAGTCAGGCCAGGCTGTCCTGCCCTTTGCCTCTCTGGTGACCTTAGTGAACCTGCAGATATCTGAGGAATCTTCTCTCATTCTGCCACCGCCCAACCTGTTCCCAGGCCCGTTTGGGGACACACAGCCTGGCGCTGTGAGGGTGTTTTATTATCTCTGCCCCATGCTAGGATGAACCCACAACCTACAGATATTCTCTGGGACACCCCAACTTGGGGGTCTCAGTTAGTACACCTGCTCCTCCCTCCTTCCCAAGCCACTTCTGGAGGTTGGAACCCCTACCTTTGCTGTGATATTGAATACTGAACTCCCAGGGAGACTGGGCTAGGTACCAATGACCGGGGGGGGGGGTGTTGGATGCCCGGGACCACATACTTCGTGGACCACCATTTCCCTGCTCTGCTTGTTTCTCCTCAGCTGTCCTGGCTGATGGGAGGGAGCGTGGCTATCCTCAATGGTCCCAGTGATGTCTGTTTGAGTTCATGCTAGGATTTATATCTTGCAAGCCATCCGGGACAGTCTCAGAGTTGAGATCTGTTTCTACACAGCCTGGGCACCTCTTTAGCTTGTGCCTCCTACCCAGGAAGCCAGAGGGGCTTTGCAGGGGTGCCTCTCCTAGGGAAGGACCAGTGGTCTCTCTCTCTCTCTCTTCAAACCTCCTGGGCGTCCTCTGTTATCTGTTACCCTGGCTTACCCGGACTGGCGCCAGCAGTCAGAGCGGTTGCCAGTGCCAGCAGTGATGGCCTCTGCTGCCCTCATTCTTGCTGGGCTTCACCTTCACCACCTAGAAAGAGGAGACTCAGACCTGTTTCCTGAATCGACATTTCCGCCTCACAATAGAGAGTGCTCGCACAATGGAAACAGTGCCATTGAAGGCCCTGCGATGCTCTTGGTAGCGCTGGCATGGCCTCAGCATAGCTCCGTAAGAAGAGCCCAGCAGAGAAGTCACAGATGTTTAGAAACACCAGCTCCAGCCGTGTCACATCTGGACGGAAGCAGAATCCATGTCTGGAGAAGCAGAAAGGCTCAGTGTTCTGATGTGGGATCCTTGTTGATTCTTGTGCTACCTGGAGTCCCTTACTTCTCTGGGGATAACATGTGAAAGTCCCATCCAGTTGTCCATGCTCTGGTAGGGTTTCTCTCTGGAGCACCTGACCTACTGAGCCTTTTACAGGATTGGGGACATTTATTCTGGGGTGAAGTATCTCCAGCCAGAGGCTCATGTTTGGTGGCCATCCTCTCTTGGGGAGCTGGGCAGGTTCTCCTCCTGAACAGCCCTGTCCTCTCCACTCTGGTGTTTGACCTTCTTTTTGTTTCAGGATGGGTGCACTTAGTGTCTTGGTGGCAACACCTGTTAGTGGGGATGCTTGTCACTGGTGTACAGTTGGGTCACCTTTTCTGAGTCCTTGCTTCTTCCCACAAAGTAGACCGCGAGGGGACAGGCGGCCCCGTTAGCAGCGAGAGGCGTGCCTGTGGCCCACTGGTGTAGGCGGCTGCAGGGGCAGCTGCTGACAGCTTTGCAGTGGGTCGAGGGTGTCCTCCTTGGAGAACCGGTGATCATGAATCCGGGGAGATAAGATGGGAGCCTGCGAACAGAGTCACAGGTGAATGCAGGTGAACTTGCTCTGAGGTAGATCTTCTTTCCTTGGCCTCAGGTGGCCATTTCCAGGGAGGCCGACATCCTAGGGCACCCCAGGGCAGCTTGACCATAAATGTAGGTTCTGGAAGGTTTGATATATGAGCCCTGCGAACTATCTGGGGGCTATGGTGGTGCCATAGTGGCTCTGGGGTTGCTTTCTCCTTGGATTTGCACTGGGCAGAACTAGAAAACAGTGCTTAGAAAGGGGGTGAAAGTCCAAGTCTTCATCAGCCAGGTGTGGGGAGGAGGCCTGCAGGGAGGAGGCCTGGATTCCGTGTGCAGCCCAGCCCAGGTGGGTGGGCCTGAGTCTGTGGCTGGTGGAGAAATGTCCTATAAAGCAAAAGAACAGATGTGACAGACCAGAGTTTCCTGGGGTGTCTGCGTGTGGCCAGTACCGAAGGCCTGGGAAGGGACTTTAGACTGTAAGTCACCACTAATAACATTTGACATCGAAAAGCCATTGTTAAGACTGTTTGGTGTTTGACTTATAACCAGAGTTGTGATTCTACTTAAGCCTGTGATTAAAGTCCCCTGTGGTTCTACAGGAAGACAGGAAGTATTGGCCTATCTGAGAAAAAAAACAGTCGCAGGAGACAGACGCTGCACTGCGTGTCTCCCAGAGTCATCACACCCCCACACACTTATGCTACAATCACCAGGTGAGGAAACTGAGGCCCAGAGAGGGAGGGGCACAGCTTGCTCAAGTGCTAATGAGGGTTGGAGCAGAGCTCAGGTTTGAGCTTGCGTGGTGGCTTGTGGCAGAGCGGCTCCAGGGCCCTGTGGTAATCCTGCAAAGCTGAGTTTAGAGGGGTCCTGCGGCATTCAAGGCACGCAGCAGTGTCTCTCACAGGGCCTGGCCACATTCCTGGGAGACATTCTCATAGTTTGTTTCTCTGGCTCCTGAAGCTCGGGCTGTGGTGGGCTCCGTCTCACAAGAAGGGTTCCTCCAATGCAGAGAAGTTTGGGGCTTTCCCCAAGATACAAGACTATTCCTTTTTTCCCCGTTTGCCTCCCATGTAGAAAGTGGGCTTTTGAAAGCCAGGGTCTCTCCACACTCATGTAGTAGCGCCATGTTCCTTGTGTTCGACAGCCTCTAGTGAGCTGTCATGGCAATGAGTGACCGTTGCGCTCTGCCTTCTCTGGGATATTTGGCAGTTCATACTGAAGGGACCCTAGCTTTAGGGTCCATCCATAGTTGAGCCAGGCTGTGTGACCAGGAGGGACCTCTGACAGCTTCCGCAGGGAGGGAACAAGACCAGGATAGAGTTTGTTCTTTTTAAGTCTTTGTTAAGGTGTAATTCACACACCACACTACCCACCCTTTACAGATACAATTTGCTGCTTTTTAAACCGTTGATAATCTCGTCAACCATCACCACAATCTAGAGGATGTTTCCAGAATGAGGCAAGGACCGGATAGCTGGTACCCCACAGCCTCTTTCCGTAGCTGAGGCCACCACCATGCTAGATTAGCTATGGGTTTGCCTTCTCTGGATTCTTCATGTACCTGTAATCACAGGCGGGTGGCCTTTGTGTCAGCTTTCCTTGTTCACTGTGGATGTGTTGTGGTAGCAATTGTGCCTGTTGCAACCCCCCCAACTCTCCCCCCCCCTTATGTCCCCACCCCCGCCCGCCAACCCCCCCAATCCCCCCCATCCTCCAATCCCACTGACCATGGTTTACTTGTAGTATTTGGGGAACATGGTTTACTTGTTTGTATTTGTGGGTACAAAATGTCATAGCGTTCATGTGAAGGCCAGAGGACAACTTTTGGGAGTCACTTCTCTCTTTCTACTATGTGCGTCTCCATCCCTAGGGATGGAATGCAGGCCATCAGGGGTAGGTGACCATTTTACCATCAGCCTCTCACATGGTTGTTGATGAAGTCCTTTGCTTGACAGGTTATCTTCATTTTTGCCTCCTGTCCTTGTTTTGGTCCCAGAACCCCATCCGGGTCCCACATATGTCTGGTTGTCACATCTCCTTAGGCTCCTCTTGACTGTGACCCCTGTCCAGGAGACGTTTGGTGGGCTGCAGAGCCCTGCATTGAGAGTCCTCTTTTGAAATGTAGATGTTTTTGTCGTGATGAGTCTGGGGAGACCGATGGCTTGGGAAGGGCAGCATTCTCAGTACCTTTCGGTGTGACTCATTGCTGTTGGTGTACCCTTGGCCTAGGTATATTTGTCAAGAGGCCTCAGGGTCAAGGCC